CCATCGCCCGCAGGGCCAGCAGATGCATCCAGATCGCAGGCATGCATGAGTGACACATTCACAGGTCCACTTGAAAAAACAGTTTTTGTTGGCTCAGGCGGCGCAGTCTCCAAGCGCTGGTGCATTTGGGTCCATGAAGTCGCAGGCACGCGAATGGAGTTGTTGGGAGATATGTGTTTTGAAGCCTTTAAGCCTTTAACTGAAGCAGTGGGGCTGTCTTTGGGCTAGACGAAGTCTGGACGACTTTCAGTTGTACTGGCCTCCCGCGACTGGAGATTCGAGAGGTGGCCCCGTCGCCTTCAGCTTGGCCGGATGCTTCCAAGTCGCAGGTTGGAGCATCCTGAAAGCTCGCTTCTGTTGCTGGCAGAACTCTTTATCTCTCTTATGCTGGAAGTCTGCATCATGTGCTTATCTCCAACCTTGTCCAGTCCCTGCAGCACTACAGGCACAGCAGTCTCCCGGTGGAGCGTTTGGCTCACTCTCGTCATTCAAGGTCTGACGGCCCAACGGCGAGTGTTTTTGCCTTGTCTTGCAAATGTGAAATGGGCCGATGTTGTAGCAGTGCTGCGGCCATCGGGAGGCGCCTGTATTCTCATGAATCTCAGACAGGTGCCACCATCGCCTGCGGCCGGATCGTCTGCATCCGAGGTCGCTGCAGAAGCTGCGTGGCCTCGTGTGACAGCATTGCTCATGGCAGGCGGCAAGGTCTCCAGCTGCCGGCCCCGCGGCATCCTTTGCTTCCCAGGTGGGCAGGAGCTGGGCTGAGTGCGTGGCGGATGCAAGCGGTGCAGGGAGCAGCTTCTCCACCGGGTGGCAGCCCTCCAGTGCGACCCCAAAAAGAGACGAGCCGAAAAGGAGAGCTTCAGGTCTGCTCAACTTGGTGAAACGAGGCTGCTGATCCCTGGCAGTCTCTACGCTCTTGGATGGCCAGACCCTCACCCTTTCGTTTCAAACTAGCTGCCTCCTTTTGCCTTTGGACTGTGCAAGGGCGACCCATTCGGGACGAGCGCAATCCGGCTGCATCTTCGAAGACTGACTTGTCCTGTGACGGGTCGCAAGGCGACATGTTTCTGCATCCGGTTGAGCGTCAGTTGCAACGGAGGCAAACCAGACGAGTACGGCTGCGTGGCCGGCGCAGGCACATGGAGAAGTCCTCAGGTCAAAGTACTTGTAGTAGGTGCAACAGTACGAGTGACGAGGGTGCTTGTCAAGTGGCTTTACGATCAGTCCGGCAATCAGACGCTGGTGCAGCGGAGCGCTGTGGAAGCATCATGCGCAGGTCTCTTCCCCGGATGTCGGCAAGCGGCAGCTAGCATGCACGAATGCAAAGAAGGCTCTTCGCAGTCGGGTCTTAAGCAAGCCAGGATAAGCCAGGAAGCCGCGCTGGCGCCAAATGCTGATTCCATAATATCTCGTTACTATCGATGATCCTCAGCATGCTGGCCTGGCACCTTCCAGCCAATTGCAGGAAGTCCAGCAGGGGGGAATGGGAGGCCTTCAGCTGAATCACTTTCAGCGACCCACATCCCGATGTTGACACCTCAGTTAAGTTCGCACCTCAGACGTTCTCAGGAACAGCTTCTCCAGCAAGTCACCCGCTGCAGCCCGCTTTGACATGTGGCCTAAAGCTGCTGGGGACACAGAAACTCGGCGTGTTTGGAGCCTGAGGTCGGTTATGCCAAGCCTAAGCCTGGGAGAGAAGATCCTCCAAGGAACCTGCCGGATGGCCGGATGCATCCGACACTCCAGACGCCTCGCCGGTCGCCTGTCTCAAGTGCAATCAATGTGACCTACTAGCAACGCGGCTTCCGCCAGAAGTTGCGCAGCAATGCAAGGCGTTCTTAGCTCTCTGCAAGTTGTCTCTAGAATCTTGCAGTTCCAGTGTCCGCTGCATGAGAGTCCGTCGGCGCTGATGAAACCAGTCAGGCCCTGGCTGCTCAGCAGTCACCAGCAGGTGGAAGGCTACAGCCTTACAGCCTTACTTTTCGTTGAGGGTTTGCACCAAACGTCTTTGCAGTCTGCCGTGGTCTCAACTTAGAAGACAGGAGAAAGCTATGCATGCGAGGTCTGTAGCTTCAGCCGCTTCAGTTCGCTTGAAGCGCGAGCAGGACATGGGTGCTGAAGCACATCGGTTGGAGCTCTGTCTCCGGACTTGCACGGTCTTCGCTGTGTCATTTCGCAGCAGGAAGCAGCCAAGCGAACACTGGCCAGCGCAATGGGTGGTTCTCAACCGGCGCTCCTGGCCACGTTATCCGGCACTCAAAACGTTAAAAGGAAGTGCATGATCCAAGGCTCATGGCCGAATGACGTGACGTCGTACCACGATAGTAAGAGATTCGCTCCCAAAGACGAGTTGCATGTACACGTGAGATGCTGAGCAATGACCTGAACCATTGCAGAGTTCGCAGATGGCGGCGCATGGTTGCGCAATCAGCCAGATGTAATTATACCTTGGCTCGTAGGACGGAAAGCGGGCATTGAAAACTCGCAGAAGCAGCTGCTTGAAACGATTCCAGAATTCCTGTTTTCTGAGGGCCGTGTTGCTCAGGCTTCGGCTGCTTTGTAGCCATGCCAGCCATGGTGGCTGGCAAATGGTTTTTGACCGTGGTGGCTCTTGCGCATGCCTCATCCTTGCCCATGGACGAGAAAGCAGAGCGAGAGTGTAGCCCTGATGACCTGGGCTGCACGGCAAGGGAAGAGGCTTGCTCGTTAGCCAAAAAGATGAGACTGGCCACTGCAGTATGCAAATATGAGACAGACCTACAGAGAGTTGACAGATGTGTGCGCTGGACGCCCGTTGGACTACACTGACACTCCAGATGAACCATTGGACGTCCTTGGCACAAACCCTGAGGTGTTGTCAAACTTGTTAACAGCCTCCGCCGATTTTGAGTGCAGCGATCCAGCCTCCTGCATCACCAATGTCGTCAAATACGAAAGCGACAATCACGGAGCCAAGTGGGCAATGAAATCTGGCAAGTTTGCAGCAAAATTTGGATCAGACACCCTGAAAGAGATTCTCAAGGCTGGGGGGACGATTGCCCTGAAAGGCGTAGTAGCCTTTGCTTTTATAAGCGCCGCGATAAGCGCATTCTTTCCGGGGGCGGGTGTCCGTGCACCTTTGCGACAGAGGATTGGGGCCGCTGTGTTTGGGAACAGGTGAAGCCATTTGTCCAAGAATTTGTGGAGGACCAGTTGGATGATGCCTTCGGGGATCTATGGGATGCGACCATCAATGGCTACAAGACAAGACTCTGGGCCTTGAATGCGACAGTTTACCGCAATTCCAAGCTGTATCCGAACGGGACCATCGAAGAAATGTCGAACGCGACCAGGGACAGAATGTACGAGGATCTCAAAGCAGTACATGATGCTATGCTCGGTAGCATCCAGCTCTTTCTGACAGATCGTGCCATCAAAACCACAGCAGGAGCTTACCTGTCCCAGTTTGCCTCCTTGCATTTCAGTGTGATCACACAACTTCTGGGGTCCTTGACATACCGCACCGCCGGCGACCGTTACGTCTTCCAGACTGTTGTAGCATGTTATGCTCGCAGGGTCTACGAGCGTGCCACAGCTGCTTTCAAGTCGCGAATGTCTGCTGTGGAGGCGCATGAGGAGGACCAGGGCTCGCGAGATTGCTGCCCGACCCAACCTATGTGCCGGGAATGCCACTTTTATTCAGGTGAGTTCAGGGACACCTGGAAGCTCTCGTGCGACTGGAAGAACTCAGGATATCACACCATCTGTGAGGCAACCTGCTGCAAGTTCGCGCCGGACATGATTGCAATGCCCATGGCTCGGGATTGCTACCAACGTCATCGCGAAGAGGTGGCAAATCAAACTGTCACTAGGTGGCACTTTGGGAATCTTTTGACTCTTTGTATTTTGGTCCTTTTTGGAAGTTCCGATCAATGGCTATTGGTTTCCTCGAGCTACAACCCAGGTCCAGTTTTGGCAGAAGTGGTTGACGCCCCTCCCCATCTGGTTGGACAGTATTGCTGTAATGCAAAGCATCCCAGTAAAACCTACTGCGACACCTGGCAGCAGTGGGTTTGACTGCTCGGCTTGCTCGGCTTTCTAGACTAGTTGGTCTGGGGCATCATCTGCATGTTCTCGAATTCGAACGCATGCTGAGCGGACAACTGTCCACCAGTCGCTCAGCACCGTCCTTGCAATTCGTTTGGTTCACTCCTGACGGGGTACCATTTGCTCCAAACACAAACCGTAAAGTCAGCAGCAACTTGTCCATGAAATCGACGGATCCTCTCGGTCGCGGGGTACAGATGCCTTTGACGACTGTGCTGCGCCATCGAAACGAGTGCGCGACTTGTGATTCGGGCTGTTACGCCATAGCCTCCATTTCTTTTTCATTCATTATAGTGCCAGCGAAAATGGAAAGTACGTACACTGGCTTAGACTTTCCTTGCTTTGGCCATAATGACTTCTGCACATGTTTCCGTTATCAAATCCTCCTACCTTGGTCTAGATGCCGGGGTTGCTTTTTCGTCGGGCGCTTTCCTGCGTGCTGGATCCTCGCCCTAGACCCTACCCGTAATCCTTGGCAGGACATGCACTTTCTGGCTACGGCGGTGCATGGTGCCAAATCCTGCGGACTCGACGAGGTGCATTTCGGGATGCCGGGACGCCCCTAAACCCTAAACCCTAAACCTATTCTACGAGGCCGTGTCTCTGAAGCTGGGAAGCCCGAGCTGCCCACATGAGCTTCATGGTCCCAACATACTTAGAGGTTCATGGGTAACCATAAAGATAGCCCATATTAGCGGACTTATAACTCTACTTCCAACTACCCTAAACCCTAAACCTTACACCCTAAATCCCATAACCCCACAGAATTAAAGGAACCCTACTATGAACCTCCAAGTAAGTAGGGCTCGGAAGCTGCGCTCAGAACGAAGAGGGAAGCCGATGCGAAAGGCGGAGCCGAACCTGGTCCAGCAGGCGGAGCGCACCCTTGAGAAGGCCTCCATACGGGTTAGGCTTTAGGGGTTTAGGGGTTTAGGGTTTAGGGGTTTAGGGGTTTAGGGGTTTAGGGTTTAGGGTTTAGGAGTTTAGGGTTTAGGGTTTAGGATACCAGCACAGAGATCGCAGATTGTGGCGCATGGTTTGCGCAATCAGCCAGATGTAATTATACCTTAGCTCGTAGGACGGAATGCGGGCATTGAAAACTCGCAGAAGCAGCTGCTTGAAACGATTCCAGAATTCCTGTTTTCTGAGGACCGTGTTGCTCAGGCTTCGGCTGCATTTTAGCCATGCCAGCCATGGTGGCTGGCAAATGGTTTTTGACCGTGGTGGCTCTCGCGCATGCCTCATCCCCGGAATGTGAGGATGCACCGATGGTGCAGCTGCAAGCCTCTTTGCCCATGGACGAGAAAGCAGAGCGAGAGTGTAGCCCTGATGACCTGGGCTGCATGGCAAGGGAGGAGGCTTGCTCGTTAGCCAAACAGATGGCATCAGACTGGCCGCTGCAGTATGCAAATATGAAGCAGACCTACAGAGAGTTGAAAGATGTGTGTGCTGGACGCCCGTTGGACTCCACTGACACTCCAGAAGAGCCATTGGACGTTCCTGGCACAAACCCTGAGGTGTTGTCAAATTTGTCAACAGCCTCCGCCGATTTTGAGTGCAGCGATCCAGCCTCCTGCATCACCAACGTCGTCAAATACGAAAAGGATTGGCCCGGAGCCAAGTGGGCAATGAAATATGGCAAATTTTCAGCAAAAGCCGCATCAGACACCCTGAAAGAATGTCTCAAGGATGTGAAGCAGATTGCCCTGCAAGGCGTAGTAGCCTTTGCTTTTGTGGGCGCCGCGATAAGCGCATTCTTTCCGGCGAAGGGTGGGCTGCCGGTGAATCCATGCACCTTTGCGACAGAGGATTGGGCCCGCTGTGTTTGGGAACAGGTGAAGCCATTTGTCCAAGAATTCGTGGAGGACCAGTTGGATGATGCTTTCGGGGATCTATGGGATGCGACCATCAATGGCTACAAGACAAGGCTCTGGGCCTTGAATGCGACAGTTTACCGCAATTCCAAGCTGTATCCGAACGGGACCATCGAAGAAATGTCGAACGCGACCAGGGACAGGATGTACGAGGATCTCAAAGCAGTACATGATGCTATGCTCGGTAGCATCCAGCTCTTTCTGACAGGTCGTGCCATCAAAACCACAGCAGGAGCTTACCTGTCCCAGTTTGCCTCCTTGCATTTCAGTGTGATCTCACAACTTTTGGGATCCTTGACATACCGCACCGCCGGCGACCGTTACGTCTTCCAGACTGTTGTAGCATGTTATGCTCGCAGGGTCTACGAGCGTGCCACAGCTGCTTTCAAGTCGCGAATGTCTGCTGTGGAGGCGCATGAGGAGGACGAAGGCATCCGAAAGTGCTGCGGATTGTATAACTGCAGGGAATGCCACTTTTCTTCAGGTGAGTTCAAGGACACCTGGAAGCTCTCGTGTGACTGGAAGAACACAGGATACTACACCATCTGTCTGCTAGACCGGTGCCAGTATGGCCCAGTCCCGTTTGCCAGGTTAATGGCTCGGCGTTGCTACCAACGTCATCGCGAAGAGGTGGCAAATCAAACGGTTACTAAGTGGCACTTTGGGAATCTGTTACCTCTTTTTATTTTGGTCCTTCTGGAAGTTCCGATCAATGGCTATTGGTTTCCTCGAGCTACAACCCAGGTCCAGTTTTGGCAGAACTGGTTGACGCCCCTCCCCATCTGGCTGGACAGTATTGCCCTAATGCAAAAAATCCGAGTAAAACCTACTGCGACACCTCGCAGCAGTGGTTTTGACTGCTCGGCTTTCTAGACTAGTTGGTCTAGGGCATCATCTGCATGTTCTCGAATTCGCATGCATGCTGAGCGGACAACTGTCCACCAGTCGCTCAGCATCGTCCTTGCAATTCGTTTGGTTCACTCCTGACGGGGTGCAATTTGCTCCAAACGCAAACCTTGAAGTCATCAGCAACTTGTCCGTGAACTCGACGGATCCTCTCGGTCGCGGGGTACAGATGCCTTTGACGACTGTGCCGCGCCATCGAAACGAGTGCGCCATTCGGGCTGTTACGCCATAGACTCCATTTCTTTCTCATTCAGTATTGAGAAGGCGTCCATGTAATGTATATGTCTAAATATATATATATATATATATACATATACATATATATACATGCATATATACACATATATATACATACACCTGTACATATATATATAATTATATACACATGTATATGTATGTATATATGTATGTGTGTATATGTATGTATGTATGTATGTACGCACGCACGCACGCACGCATGTATGTATGTATGTCTGCCGGTCTGCCTGTCTGCCTGTCTGCCTGTCTTCCTGTCTGCCTGTCTGCTGTCTGCCTGTCTGCCTGTCTGCCTGCCTGTCTGTCTGTCTGTCTGTGTATGTATGTATGCATGCATGCATGCATGGATGGATGGAGGGATGTATGTATGTATGTACGTATGTATGTATGTATGTCTGTGTATGTATGTATGTATGCATGCATGCATGCATGTATGTATGTATGTGTACGTGTGTGTCTGTGTGTATGTGTGTGTGTGTGTCTGTGTCTGTGTATGTGTTATTGAAAAATCCAAAATATAACATGCAACAATCTAGCATAATATACAATGTAGCACAATATACTATACATGCACTGCTTGCTTCTCCTTAAACGGGTAGACGGACCCCTGGCCGCGAAGAGAGGCCTTGGCCAGAGGCTTCCCGGCGAGGCGGGCGGCCAATGCCTTTGCACGCAGAGCTTGAGCAGCAGTCATAGGATTATATATATATATATAGAGATAGATAGATAGAGGCTTATGGGATAGTTTGGGGGGCGGTTCTAGCAGAGCATGCTTATCATAAGGACCACCGGGGCCCCGAAACCCTGGGACGTATTGGCCGAAAAAGCAGTGGCTGCCTTGACACGATCGCTCTCTCTTTCTGCGGGCGTTGACGGGAGGGCTGCCCCTGTCCCCTGCCCTAGTGCGCACCCAGCCATCTCTTCTCTGTCTTGCTCGCTTGCTTGCTTGGGGTATGGGTTCCCGGGGGGAAGAGTCTGTCTCTCTGTCTCTCTCTCTCTCTCTTCCTCCGAGCGCTTCGATCCACCCAAGGCACCGGGTAATTTGCATCATGCCCTCTCAGTCTCCCGAAGTTCCCAAGTCCGATGCCTCAAGGCCGCCGGAACGTAAAGCCTGGAAAGCTCGATGCACCTCCGGGCGAAACGGCGACGAAAGTCACAGCCAGCTGGTGCCTAGTCCCTTCTTCCACACAGCTTTCAATGCTCTTCTTGGTGCACTTCTCGATCTGTGATTTTAGGGTGCTTACTGTAGGGTGCGGGGTGTAGGTGTCGGGGTTTGGTGTTGAGGTGTCAATTCGGTGTTACGATGTAACAAAGAATCAGCCCTCACAAGCGATGGAATCCCGATCGCTTTTCGCCTCGCCGCGGAGCGCCACAAGGGAAGAACCCCGCCGAAGCCTCGGATGAGGAAAGTCTCAAAGGAAAGCACGGCACTTCCTCCCCTAAACCTGGCCGAACCGATCTGTGCCCAATGGCTGGTCGGGGGGGAACCAGAACCGTCGCTTGCCGGATTTGTGGTGAGAGAGAGAGAGAGGCTCGCGTGAAAGAAAAAATGACAGAGACATGCTGGGCTTAGACGTTGACAGCCTCACTCAAGGTGCGGAAGCAACAGTTGACGTTCCACAGCACCAATGGAAAGGAAAAGCCAACTGCAACCAAACTGTTCTGAACGTTTGAAACGCTTTGGCCGGCTTACGGTGGGACAGCAACCCTGCACGAAGCCGGAGGCCGTGCACTTCGCCGCCGAGTCTCTGTACCAAACCAGACACCTCTCGCTGTGAAGGCTTGATGCTGCAGGTGAGGGATATGCACGTTCGAGAACACAGGGCAGGTTAGGCACAAACGGAACGGAAGTGGATAGGAAGTTCGTTGCGAGGTATTCAGGCAACCGCCTCCAGAGACAGCAGAGCCCCAAAACCATGCAGTATGATCCAGTTCATCCCGTCGGAAGCTAAACTGCAAGACCAGCAAAGGTCATGAAGAGCCCGTGATCCGGCCTTGTCCCTGATCAATCCAACGGCTGCTTTCAAAGCCTCCAATTCAGCCTCGTTCGCCGACTGGACTGAGCTATCGGTCGAGGGAGTCTTTGGATATCTTTGGATGCTTGCCTCTTGTCTATGCTATCAAAAACCTAGCACAAGGCATGCTGCGGTTCTATGGTAGGAGGTAGGTGTTTCTGGCGCACGCAGCTTGTCTGGACCTGAAAGTCCCGAGCTTTGCCTGGCGGCTACTGCGGCGCTTCTTGAAGGAGTCGGCCTCGTGTAAAGGGGCGCTTCGCAGACATGCGCAGTTCATCGTGTTGAGTGCAAGGCAGCCAGCACTGTCAGACAGGGCCCTGCAGGTGATCTCAGAGATCCGTAATCGGATAGGACCATAGCAGTCGGAAACCCCCATGAAGGCTCCCGCCTTCAGGCTACACATCACCTGCAAGTCCTCTACGTACTTCTTGTCTTGCTGCAGGTCCTTCGCTTCGGTTTTCGTTTTCCTTGGAGGCATACTGTTCATGCAGGAGAGCAGCACAGGTCATGGGGGATGTCAGCGTGCTCCTGTCAAGCCTATACCACCATGCAGACATTGGCCCATAAAGCGCGCAAGACCTCCCTTCCGTTACATGTGCACAGATTGCTGTCCTTCCGCACATCTTCAAGATCTTCGCCTGCCTCCTTCTGCGCTCTCTGCGCGTCGCCTGCTGTTAGTCGCTTTGAGGCTGTTGGGTGAAGTCCATGCAGCCAACATGTTCTGAAACGGGCCAAGCAGATCCTTGCCTAGAGCAGAACGCTTCGTGCGAAGCGCGGCTTCCATACCCTCCTGGGTATCTTCACGTTACAGGGCCCAGGAGCTGGGTCATGCTATGTGCTGCAAGGACCACAGAGCACATTAGCGCGAGAAGCCGGTATCTCGGTAGCCCTACACAGCACAGCCTCAAAGCCTCGGTTGCTAGGCCCTGGCACATCCTCACCTTTGCGAAACTGCACCGAGCGACATGCTCCATTTCGAGCTGGTTCAGCAAGAGCTCATGCTCCTGAGCGACAGACATTCAAACGTTGAGACCTCACGCCGTCTTGAGCACTGGTAGGAGGTCCTACCACCCTGCGACACCATTGGCCTTGACTTGCCAGTTTCAGACGTGCAAATTTCGAACACTCCCACGCGGCGCCTGTTTAGCGTGCGTCTCGGCTTTGCGGAGGTCCTGCAAGATCGAGATATATTGATAACTTTTGGCTGGCTTGTTCAGAACTATTCCGGGACCTGGACATTTCTGCAGATGCACGAAGTCACGGGAGAGATGAGAGTCCAGAGTAATACGACGTGATCTTTGTCCCTCGGCCGTGGTGCTCTTCAAAGCACAAGACAGCTCCGTTGCTACGCCAATGCCACAAGCAGCTCTGAGTGCAAACTTTGCATCCGCAGAGCACAAAAATAATATGCATATATATATATGTATAACATATATACAATATTAAATATATAATATACAATACTAAATATATAGTATATAATATACAACTTATAGTATAAAATTTCTACCACTCAAGCTGTAATATTACATATACAGTATATAATATACAATATACAGTCTATAACAAACAATATTAAATATACAATATTACATATATAATGTATTAGCAGCCCATCTCTGAAGCTCCGACCTCGAGCTCGCCGTGGAAGCGCTCCGAGAGCTTCCTTGGCTTTGCGAATGCGGGAGCTGGGGCCCAGTCAACCATGATTATAGGTTTAGGGTTTAGGGTTTTAGTGTTTAGGGTTTTTTTTTTGAGGGCCCTTTTCCGTCTGCCAGGTACTGACTCGGGAATCCACACAGCGGAAGGCACTAACCAGACAACCCTTAAGGCCGACTGATAAAGGAAGGATAAAACAGGGTTTAAGGTTTAGGGTTTGTTTTATCACCTCTTTTCCGTCAGCCCATAAGGTCTCGGGAATGCCAATCTGGCTGAGGCGGGGTTCGGGAGGCAATCAGCAACAGAGGGATTCACCACCAACACCACAATAACCCATACTGGCAAAAACCCCTGCCTCCCGAAATGGGCACAATCAACCAGGCATCAGACAAAGTGGTTCCGGGTTTAGGGTTTTAGTGTTTAGGGTTTAAGGTTTAGGGTTTAGGGTAGTATACTAAAGATATAGTAAGGAGCCCCCCCCAAAAATAGTATCCCGTGACATCCACTGAGGCGGCGCGATTCTTGACTTCACTAAAAGATAGGACCCGCTTCTGGGTGTGAACACACTTTAACCGCGCGTTCCCGCCATGGAAGCAAGCCTGGGAATTCCAAGAAGGGGATCTGCAAGGAATCTGAGAAACACGAATCAACTGAGAGAGCGGAACACAGAACGGCGCACATGATGTGCGCAAACACGCGTACATATACAGAAACATGCATCCGCATCAGCGTGCACAGGTACACACACACACACGAGATTCATACATGTGTGTATATATATACATACATACAAACGCGCATGCATGCACGCATGTACATATACATATCTGTAAAATATATGCACATATACAAATTTCTACATCTTTCCATATATATATATATACATGTGCACACATACACATACCTACATGTAAGCAAAATGCATACATACATACCTTTGTCTATATGTACCACTGCTTCATTCCATGCTTATATCTATATCCATGTCTATTTCTAGCTGAATACCTATATCTATATCCACATTACATTTATAGCTATAACAAAATCCCTATCTATGCTGCCTATACCTATACCTAGGCCTATACCGATATCTATATACCGATATCTAGAAAGCCTATACCTGCACTATATCTAGACATTTGTATACTTATGTCTGCATCTATGGCCTAGGTCCATGTCAATGGCGATGTCTATAATTATATCTGATACCTGATTCTTTATGTATGTAATTAGGTATGTACGCATGTGCATGTAGGCATGTATTCTATGTGTTTGTACACTGTTGGGTGCTTTCTTGCTCGCTTGCTTGCTCGGTTGTGCGCTTGTTTGTCTGTGTGTGCACGCGCGTCCACGCCAAGGAGGCGCAGGTGTACATAGGGGTGAACATACCGCGCGCACACATTATATACATATATATATATAGTATATGGACCTGGATATAGATATAGATATAGGTATAGGTATACAAACATATACATATTGATATACATATTCATATACATATTCATATACATATTCATATACATATTCATATACATATTCATATACATACTCGTATACATATTCATATACATATTCATATACATATTCATATAATATGCATATACATTATACATACACATATACATATACATCCACATATACGGCATCCATATATATGTATGTATATCGCGTATGTGTGTATATGTGTCTGTATACATATGTCAGCACACTCCAGAACATACTCTAACCACGCTACGCTACGATCCTATACTATGCCGTACTGTGCCATATTAGGCTTTACTATGCCATACTATGCTGCATTGTGCTATATGATGCTTTGCCATGCCGTACCATGTTATACTATGCTATACCATGCTAAACTATGCTATACTATGCTATACTATGCTATACTATGCTATACTATGCTATGCTATTACTAACCAGAACAGCGGCAGGACAAGCTCAAGTCCACCAAGGGTGCCCCAGTTCTGAAGCTTGTTCTCCTTCGTTTCTGGATGGCCCCTGATCTGTCACTCTGCCACGCGGCGTCAGCATCTCCAGAATGCTCGAGGCAGCAAAGCCGGGGTCCTCGACCTAGAGCTGTGGGATCATCCAGGTTTGTTTCATCCAGGCTTGTTTCAGCTCGTGGCTACAAAGAAAATCAGCACCGCCGAGCCTGCAGCGCAGCCAGCGCTGTGTCGCGCGGCGCTGTCTGCAGCTCAGAGGCAGCAGCGGCCTTTTAGACACTCGGCGTCGGTAGACTCAATCAAGCGCTCGCGCGTGCTAGAATCAAAAGTAGGGGCAAAGCATCGCCTGCTAAAGGCTCTGCTCAAGTGCCAGCTTCTGATGCTCGTGATGCTCGCGCTTTGCCACTGGCTGACACATCGCAACTCCTTTGATTGAACATCTCCCTCTCGTTTCTTATTGGTTGAAAATCGCCTTTCTGCTGCTTGTGTTGCCCGCTCTCGCTTCCTTGCTTACAAGTGCCCCTTCTCATGCTTTCGATTAGGGCTTTCGCTGCCACGTTGATTGAAAGGATTGAAAGTCACCCTTCTAATGCTCATGATGCTAGCCCCTGCCCCACATCTTCATGTGATGTTCGTGATGCTCGCACTCCTGGTTCTCACTGCCCCCCCCTGAAAATAAGAATCTCTTCTGCTGACTTCTGCTGCTCATTGTGCTTGCTTTTTGTTAGCCCGTTGGCTACAAGTGGGCCGCGTTGATCTGTCCCGAAAGTCTGTTTTCTGATGCTCGTGTTGCTCCCTCTTGCTTTCCCACGCATTCGCCCTTCTGATGCTCATGATGCTCGCTTTCGCTGCCTAGCTGATTGCAAAGTCTGCCTGCTGATGCTCGTGATGTTCGCTCTCTTTGCCCAATTGCTTCCAAGTCCCCCTTCTGATGCTCATCTGATTGCACGGTCTGTCACTGCTGATGCTCGTGATGCTTGCTCTTGTTGCCGGACTGCGTCACAATCTCTTTTCTGATGCTGCTGATGCTCGCTCTAGCTGCCTAGCTGGCCAAGCTGATTGACTCTCTGCCTGCTGAGTCTCGCGATGCTCGCTTGCAGCGCCCAACTCTTCACAATCCCCCTTCTGATGCGCATGACTCGCAACAATGCCGATTGGACAGTCTCCCTGCTGATGCCCGTGATGCTCGCTCTCTCTGCCCGGCTGGTCAACAAGTCTGCCTGCTGATGCTCGTGATGTTCGCTCTCTTTGCCAAGTTGCTTTAAAGTCTCCCTTTCTTATGTTCATCCGATCGAAGGGTCTCGCTGCTGATGCTCGTGATGCTCGCTCTCCCGACTGCTTCACAATCTCCTTTCTGATGCCGATGATGCTCGCTCTAGCTGCCTAGCTGATTGAAAACTCTGCCTGCTGATGCTGTGTTTCTTCTGCTGCGCATGATGCTCACTCTCACTACCCAGCTTTTGAAAACTTTCCCTGCTGATGCTCGCAATGCTCAGTCTCGCTGTCGCGTTCATTAATTAGAGAACTCGCATCTAATGCCACGCTAGTGATGCTCGCTGTCGCTGCAACGATGGTTCATTATGCTCCTGATGCTTGTTATCGCTGCAAGTTGAATAAAAACTATCCTTGTGAGCTCAAAAATGCTCATGCTCGCTGCTAACTTGGAAACAAGTTTTGTCTCTGATGCTTATTGCTCTTGCTCTCATTTCCCGGCTGATTATCCTGGGTTCCTCGCATGCAGAACTCCCGCCCGTGACTTGTGATGCTGACGATATCGATGTTCCTCGGTATCTCTGATTCAAAGCCTCCCTGCCGGTGGTCTTGATGCTCCCTCTCAGTCACTTCCTTCTGCTCATGATGCTCGCTTTTACTGCCTCATGAGAGCTCTCCCTCATGATGCTCATGATATATTTGCTTTCACCGCCCTGTTGCTTAGAAGCCCACTCGCACTGCTCCCTCTCGTTTACCCCACTGGTCAAAAGCCTCCCTTCTAGAGCTTGCGATGGTAGCTCTCGCGATCGCGTTGGTGAAAAGCCTCCGGTCTGGTGCTCCTGATGCTCGCTCGATGACCCCCCAGGGCATGGGGGCCCCCCAGGGCATGGAAGGTCTCCCTCCTGTGCGTTTAGATAGATGTCATGCTTCTGAAGGCGGCACCTTGGACTCTGGGTCGGTCTTGTCTCGCAGCAGGAAGCTCGCGCGCTGCACCGCGCGGATCGATTTTTGCCTGGGCACGAGGGAGTGTGGGAGCGTGGAGGACGGCAGGCACAAACTACGTCACGAGGCACGGTGTAAATCAGGCGCAAGATGCGACACACGCGCCACTGTCTTGGAGAGGTTTGAATGTTGCACCACGCATCCCTGAACCTTCACACGTCTTGAACCGTTAGCCAGAGCAATCTTCGCTTTGCCAGCTGAGCTGCAGCTCCTGGTCTGAAGTGATGTAGGTGGAGGACTGGCGAGCAGCATTTCGACACTGAAGTGCTGCCTAAACTCCTGACTATCTCAGACACGCAGGCCCAACCCCAGAACGGCAGTCACCCTAAACCCTAAACCCTAAGCCCTAATAAACGCCACAAGTTCGGTCTCTGTCGAGCCCAGGTGAAGCGAGCGACAGTCGGCGGAGCCTCGTCTTGACGGCGCTTCTCGGTATGAGACCTTCATAGGGCCGACTTCCAACAGAGCTTAGGCTGGACCTTCCTTCGCAGCTAAGATGATACGCTGAGTCCTCCTGCACTCCCTGCAGTTGCCTCACTCGGTATGAGCAATCCTGGTCAATTGCTGAATAACTTGCCAGTCAACCGGGCCCTGCACAAATTCCCACTCGGAAGCATTTAACCGCCGCAAAACTCAATACCCAAACATCATTGACTCTATCCTAGTCCAGCCAAAAGGCAGTGCAGTAGCAAGGTCATCGAAATCTGAAGCCGCAAACCCTGCAACGAAATACGTCCATAAGTCCGCAGAGAAACGACCGTAAAGCGAGTCATGCCGGTCCCACGAACCCAACTAAAAGACCGAAATCCAGGAATGCCTCAGATCCGCAGGGAGCTTGCAACACAAACCATTGACAGATACTCTTAAACCCGACATTTCTCCTTGCAGTTCCAACTTCCGAACCTCTTTTCATCAAGCTTGCTGGCTTTTGCAACGAGCTCTTCGATGTCCTCCAAGCGATCTGCTGACTGCCAGAGATCGCTTCCATGACAGGCTGAACCATCCCGTGGCCCAGACATCTCCTCCTGCACCGCTGCAACAGCGGCTTCCGTGCGCTCCACCACCGCGCTGGTGCGCTCCTGGCTGGCTGGATTGGGCTGAAGCCTCTCTTGCTCATATTCTACTCAAACATATATTACTATAATCTATTTCTTATTAACTTTTACCATAATATTTTATTAACTACATTTCTCCTTCTATGATTAGCTACATTTCCTGCGGTGGGGCTCTATGGCCCGAACCATACTGCACCGGGCCAAAAGCTCGCAGATCCCCATCCAAGAAGATTCGGGCAAAAAGCCAAGGAAAGTCATAGTATAGTAGAACATAATATCACGTAACTTGATATAGTGTAATCTAGTATAAGAAGGTGATACAACATAATACAGTTTCTACAGTATGGTAAGATGCACAATTCTAAACCATACTCGAAGATCTTCCAGCCTCCTTCTCCTCACCATCCTCAATCTCGCTCCTCAGCTTTCACGCGGCTCAAGCGCGGAAAATCTTGGGGTCGGGCCCAATCCAGCGCAACTTCCCGCCGACACGGTACTTTTCACACGTTTGGCTTTGATTATTGCTGCCACCATCACTATCATTGCAATTATGACTATTGTCGCTATTATCTGCATTATCGCTCGAACTACCGCTAATGTTGCTGTTATTACTATCAGTACTACCGGTACTATCCGTGCTTTTCGTACTAAAAATGCAGACAGCATAGTTCTAAAAGTGGCCCCTTAAGCAGCTCCGAGCATCTTCTTCGAGGCGGCCGTGTCAGTGCACCACTGCTTCAGCCTTTCGTACCTGACTTAGGGTTTAGGGTTTAGGTATGTACACTGTGCTATGTAACAGCACTAGTATGGCACAGTATAGTATAGCATAGCGTAGTATAGCATAGTATAGCTCAGTACCGCATATTGCAGCTCACTATGATATACTATCTAATAATGTATAGTATATTCTATTTGTTTATGCTACATAATATCCTTTTATATTATACTATATTATTATCTTATCCTATACTATACTATACTATACAGTGGTATAGTCTCTTACATTACACTATATTACCAGTCACCATAACCTCTGTTCGCCAAGCCACCGGACCACTTCGTCGTTGAGTTCTGCTCGACCTTGCCTCCACCTGCGGGCTGGGATGATCCATTGCTGCTTGGCACAACAACATATTTTCATTACTATATAGTATAAAACTATACAGTATAAGATAACATGATACAATTTATTGTAGTATCGTATAGTATAATATCATAAAACATCCATGAAAGTTCTGGCTTTTACCCTTGCTAAGTTGAACGGCAACGGTTGCAGACACCACTGACGTGTTTCAGGCAATACTAGTACTACTTGTCAAGCCCGTTTTCATCCTATCACACGTCTACTACTTGGAGGATCAGGGACTTAGTAAGAAAGGCTACAAGTACGTTAATTGGGGTTACCAGTAAATGTACGCATAGGCACCTGTATATTTCTCCCTAAGTCCACGAACCTTGAAAGATCTCTAAGCCCCTGTTCAAGAAGAAACGAGGAAACTACAAAAACCCGTTAAAAAGAAAAAAACTCAAGGCAACCCTTAAAGACTACAGTAAGTCCCCTGATCCCTTCAGTAAGGCCCGGACAGCTTCTCAAGGAGTTCCACGGCCTTTGAAGCTGGGGCCTCCGAGCGATGCCTCCCATGCAGAGATTCGCAGAGGCTTTGAGGATTGGGTTTAGGGTTTAGGGTTCAGGGCTTAGGGTTTCGGGCTTAGGCTTTAGGGTTTAGGGGTTTAGGGTTCAGGGTTTTAGGGTTTAGGGCTTAGGGTATTGGGCATTGGGCTGATGAGTCCGAGTCCAAAGGGGGCCTGGCAGCCACCGCAGCCACCAGCTCCGCAAGGGCAGCGGTCAGCAGCAGTAGGCGGGACACCTCAATTACGAATTTGGGGGTTTAGGGTTTAGGGTTTGGGGCTTAGGGTTTAGGGTTTAGGGTCTTTCTCAGCAAGGCCTGGACCATATAGCCGACACGACTAGCTTTCTATCCTACTCCGATCCGCTCCGGGCAGAGACACTGGACCACCCGGTGCCTCTGCGCCTAGGGGTGGGACCATCTTCATTCTGGTCAGAAGCGCCTGCACCGCTCGAAGATTAAGGCTGCAAGTGCACAGAACACGCAACGCAGATAGGGGCAGTCATGCTTCATCAAGCAGTACAGTACCCTGGTTTGGTGGCTTCGTCTTCGGGCTACTCCCCGTAAGAGACGACGTCCAAGCGGCCTCTTTCGGTAGCGGAACTGACCAAAGCCAACCGTGCCATGCCAAAGAAAACTGGAGCATCTGAGTTCCAGAGCATAGAGGCTCCGCTGTGGCCAAATGGTTTAGCCCCGTTGCGAAGAGGGGGCCTCCCGGGATGCGGAGATGCCATCTGCAAACCCTCCATGCCCTCCATCGAGCCGGGAACTGGGAGAAGCTGCGGAACCCCCCAGGAATCAAAAAACGAAACCCGGCTGCGGAGCTTCACGGAGCCCTTGGCACACTCATGAGAGATCGAAGAGAAGTTCCGAGACAGTTCGGCTTAAGCCTAGGCCCAAGAGACCGCTCTCATGGATCTAAGACGCCGTTGCTCCAACGGCGTCCTATCCTGGCCCGGTCCGGGGACGAAGGTTCAGGGTTGCATGATCCCCAAGGCTGAAGTGCGGGGGGAGCTACCTCCACTAACCAGGGGACAGTACTCGCAGTATGCCGTCTTTCAGCCGCAATGCACTTCTTCATCTAAGGAATCCCTCAGGCGGCTGCAGACACCTCACCGGCGGAGGGCACGAACAGGTTCAGTCGCCAGCAGCTGAGATAGACTCTGCGGCACACTGCTTCCCGAAGACTTTCGTTCCGGGCCTCTCTATCCCGACAAAGGCGCAGCTTCACCCACAAGGCCGGCCTCCGGGACAAGCTGTCCAAATAGAAACCTATCAGTAGCACAAGAAAGAGAAAAAAAAGAGGGGGGTCGAGACCTAAGCCGTCACTGTGGTCGACGCCATAGAAAAGCACGAGCGTTTGTGCATTATTAGTTCAGGCGTCTATTGCCGGAGGTGCAGCTTCTTCGCTCAAAGTATGAGCTCCCGATCAGTGAACCCAAGAAGTGATACCTCGGCACGACAGCTTTAACATTCCCTCCACCCCATGAAGGATAGCCAGGTAGCCTCTGTCCTACAGATGTTATCGGAGACGTCCTCACGTATTGCTCTCTGAACTCTGAACATCTCTGAACTGGACTCCATTTCCAACACCATGGCCAGCCTTGCGCAACAGTTCAGTCACGGTTGCCTGCGTGAGCGTCTCACGAGTGTGTGGCAGTTTGCCGGCTCCATAGATGTTATAAACGATCTGACGTGCAAGGAGCATGCAACAGCTGTGCGGGCATGTGCATGTCGGTGCACACCTGAAGCACCACTTGTGCAGGCAGGCAGCCTACTAAGCATTCCTGGTACTGGCCGGAACAAAGGGACCACATGAAAACTTCAACCGGCGAGCTCCTGTTTGGCAGCCGCGGCAGTGCGCTGATCCAGCTCCTCCAGCTGTTTGGCCTGCTCAGACTTCTGGAAACTAACATGAACGGCTCCTTGTTTTCTCATTTGCGCGGGCCTTAATGCCACCCTCCCCAAGTTGCGCTGCGCACGATCCTAAGTATCTTTGCAACCTCTATGAAAATGCATTGCTCGGCCAGAACCTTTCTCCTTTCTCCTTAGTTTCAAACGAGCCTTTTCTCTCTGCGTCTCATGATTATCCACTGAGAAAGCTCAAGTCAAGGGTGCTTCACCCTGGCGCGGCGAAAGGCGGTGACAGAGCGAGGATGACGGGAAATGATGACGGTGGTGCTGACGCTGATGGTAGTAATGGTGGCAACAACAATGATGATGGTCGTGGCGACGATGGCAATGATGGTACTGTTGACCATGATTGACGGCAATAGGTGCTGATGAAGGACAAAAGCTACGATACCCCGATAGAAAAGGGCTCTGTAAAGCACACACAAGAAGGCTTAACAAGCTTGATTGCAATATACTAGGGCCCCGGATGAAAATTGCGGCTTTGTCAGCTTAGCCACAGCTTCGCTTCCCAGCAAACGCGACGTTCTGCACGGCCCAGCTGTCAGAGTTACAAAAACAAAGATGCTTGCTTTGCGTCTTTTGGCTTGTCTGATCTGCCGGCTTGCAAGCCATCACGAGCCCAACATGTCAGAATCCATTCAACAAAAAACGGGGAACATAGAGAGAGAGAGAGAGAGAGAGAGAGTGAGTCTTCATATGCGAATCGGCTTTTCGTACTCCTCCCAGACGGCCTGGGCCAAGGAGCGGTCCAGGAGTGTCTGTGCTTCGGCCTGGCAGTTCTACATGATTGGGGGGGGTTCGGGGTTTAGGGAGTGTAGGGTTTAGGGTGCTGCCTTGGCTTGTGGGATTGTGGCTTTATACTCATAGTGGAGCCGAGGCTTGCCTCGGCGTGCGCTCTGCAAGCTTTTTCATGGAAAGACAGCACGGCTCTAGATTTGCATTGCGGCGAGCCTCGGAAGCATTTGCTTCGACGAGGACGGCATCGGCGGCATTGGAGGCCTCGAAGGAATGCCATCGACCGCCATGCGCTGCCGATCGAGCTGTTGCAAGACTCAGACGCAACCGCCTTTTCTAGGCCTCCTAAACCCTGAAACCTGAACCCTAAACCCTACATCCTATACCCTAAACCCTATACCCTATACCCTAACCCTTAACCCCGATAAACCGCAAGATTCGAAACTGTCGGAGCACCGACGCCTCCTTGGCCAATGCCAGCGTGGCCTCGGCACTCGCCTTGGCACTTCGGGCCTGGCAGAGGGTTTGGGGCTTTAGGGTTTAGGGTTTTACTATAGAATAGCATGCTACACGATATTATATTGTAGTACATTATATTGAACTGTGTAATATTCTGGGTTTAGGGTTTAGGGTTTTTTTTTTTTATCGCCCCTTTTTCGTCAGCCCCAGGGAGTCAGAAAAGCCAGTCTGGCTGAGGCTTGATGACAGGAGCCCACTCCTATGATTACACATCAGGTTTAGGGTTTAGGGTTTAGGGTTTTGGGTTTTGGGTTGGGGCCGAGGGCTTACATATGAGGGTTTAGTTTTAGGGTTCAGAGTGTTGTAAGGCTTAGAGCTGTAAATTCTATAAATACCTGCTATGGCTTCTGTAATACTACTGTGGCAACTGAGGGCTACTGCTGCTGTAAAGGTTTAGGGCCTGGTTTCGGGTGTTGAATATGAAGGTCCAGGGGTTTAGGGTCTAGGTGACCAGGCGTTCAGGGTTGAGAGTTTTGGGTTTGGAGGCTTGGGGCTTAGGGTGTCTCTTGGGCTCAGGGTTTGAGGACTTTACAGCTTGCGGTGGGGCTCTGGGAGTTCGGGTTTGGGCTTTAAGGTCTGCTAAGCCCTCAGCCTCAAACCCAAAAATTCTAAGCTACTAAGCCGAAATCTCATTTTTGTGGGCCTTTCTTCAATGGAAGCTGCAAAAACCAACTGAGTTGCAGCCTTGGCCATCGATTTCATCACGTGCTCCCGCAAGCCGGCCGCGATGTCCTGCCAGACTTCGAGGCACAGTGCGCGATGCCAGCAGATGCATCCACGACCCTTGACATCCCTCATTGCAAAATGCTGCCTCTGGGGACGTCGTCAAGTTCTGCCTGGGTGTCCGCATGGATTGGCTCTGCAGTCCGCATGTGGAAGCTGGATGAGCCAGTACAAGACCCTGTGCAACACGAGTGGACAGAACGAACTGACACAAAAGCACCGCGGTTGCATCTTCGAAGCTCTCATGGAAACGGAAAACCAGTAAAGGTCTCATTCCCACAACCCTAAAATAAATAGCACTTTGCCACCACGAGACACCACTCCCCGAGCCACCGCTACGGCAGCTCCGAGCCGCTTCGCGTGCCCCTGAGCAGCCTGGTCCGGCCAAAGGTAATGGTAACAGTCCTAAGTTTAGGGCCTAGGGTTCAGGGCTTAGGGTTTAGGGTTTAGGGTTTGGGGTTTAGGGTTTAGGGTTTAGGGTTAAGGTTTAGGGCTTAGGGTTCAGTATTAACAATGACAATCGTAACTGTCACGGCAACACGAATGCTAGGCGCACCTATGGAACATACTGATGCCGATGCCAACATGAACAGTAATACCGATACCAATGCTAGTACGATGACTACTACTAAAACCAAATCAAGGATTCATACTTAGACTAATACTAAACCGATGCTAAGAGCAACAATGATACTAATGCAGCTACAAATACCAATACCAGTACTAATGCTAAGACTAAGAATATGAAAAAGCACGATGTGCGATAACAAAGTTATAATAGCAATCATGACCATGGCACATATCAATAACTATAATAGCAACGCCAACAATGACATCAATATGCATTTTAGATATTAGTGTCGTCTACATCTACACCATGATAATGCTGCTCATACTCACCACCACCACCACCACCAACAACAACAACAACAAGAGGAGTAAGAGCAAGAGCAGGAGCACGAACAAGAACGACGACGACGACGACGACAGCAGCCGCAGCATCCACACTTCTGTATCAACGCGTGACGCGCTGAATCTTGGATCTGACGAGGGCCGCAGAAGATAGTCTTGTGAAGGACCATTGCAGCAGACGCATTGGCTAAGGAAACCCGGCTTGACGCCGCCCCGTCTCAGGTGTGTGGCCACCGCCAGACATGCGTGGCTGCGGAGCCACTCTGAATCGAACAAGGGCAAACGAAACTCTGAAACAGAGTGGCTATGCTCACGTAAAGCCCTTCTCGCGCACGGGCAACGGGCGCCTGCAGGTGCCGCACAGCATCGCTCTGCAAATGCTCGATGGAGCCCTGGTGTGGCACGAGGTCAACAGAAATGAGGGTCTGGTCACTCCGTAGGGAAGGAGGTAGCCAGAAAGAGAGGCGTAAAGAGCAGACAGACGCTTCCAGTGGCGCAAAGGGCGGTCCTTTTGGAGAAAGCCCCATGTTTCTCAACGATGCAGCACACAGTTTGCAAAGTATCAGGATGCCTCCTCGTGCTGAATCGTCTGTAAGGCCGGACTCAACACCTGGCGACGATAAAAAAAGCCTTACGAAGGGACCCTGGAACCCATGCAGGAGGCACGGTCCAAACACACGAAGCAAACACATCTGGGACACCCAAAGTCTCATCACCCTCTTGCTTTCGGAACTGTTGCTACACGTGACTCCCCGTGGTGTCAGCCCTCGCTTCATGATCGTATCTTATCGGGGTTACCTCCAATATGGCATGCCAAGCACGCATGCAAAAACGTGTGAAGACCAGAACAGCCTGGCCATTGACGGCCCGGGCCTGGTGCTGGTACTGCTGGCCCTCTCTCCTTTCGTGCCGTTTCTGCTTGCTGCGAGGCTTTTTGGGAGGCTTTGCGCTTCCCTAAAGCAGGGGCTGCATCATTGCACGATGTCCAACCCATGTCGTCCGGCTCCATGTCTGATCCGGAAGTTCAGCATGCGTCTCTGCGCTTGCCGTGTAGATACGGTCAAGGCTCGAAACATTGATTTGACGGGCGGCAGGGAAGGATGTAGACAGACAGACAGAGAGAGAGAGAGAGAGAGAGAGAGAGAGATGAGGGAGAAAAAACACAAAAGATACTGAGAATTCGAACAACTGCCAAGGTTTGCACTCAGCAAGACGGACCCTCGATTGAGAACGTTTCTTTCGCGTGCTGCCAGACCCTGTGGGCTCACATCACATGAGGCCCATCACCTTTGCACTCAACCCATTGGCAACAAAACCAAAAGCAGACCTGGTGGTGTTCACGGCAGCCCCTAAAGCGGTCTCAGTGATGTTGGCCATGGCCGCCTGTCGGGTTTAAAAGCAGAGGAGGCACTAAGGTCTGCACTCGCTGAGAGGTTGCCCCCGCCACCTCT